AAAAAAAAAAAGGTATCTCCTAGTAAACAGAGTAAGAGGTTTGGATCCCCAAGGCAAGACTCTAGTTCTGAGTGAAGGAATGTTCAAACCTAGGAAACAATACTAGAAAAACACCAAGAGGCACTTCTCACCGAATCATCTCTGTCCATCGAACAGCTTCCTGAAGCTCCATCAATCTCTCTTTATACTGGTTTCTCTCCATTAGAACACGGGCCATTTCTACTCTAGTAAACCGCTTCCTCTGGGCTGTGGGAATATCACTCTGTAACGAAAAGAACACTGCCGATCACTCTGGGAGCCTATGTCTGTTTTGGTGTTATGTTAAACTTAAAGCTTTGAAACATTTCTTAATTTCTAATCTACTGGATCATTTAAAGAGAAATAATCTTCTAAAAATAAAATCAATAGAGAGATTTAAATAATTACCTATGATGAAGAAAGGTATACAATTTAATTTCTGAAAATAGAGATATTGGAATATACCGTAAGGAAAATACAAAGAACAGTGTAGATTTTGAACTACAACCAAAAAAGATTAACAAAATATATCTATATAGACTTAACAAGCTTGCCTGGAAATGTTCCTCTAATAACATTATTTTCAGTTGATGTTCTACAACAAATGCTAATTATTCAGCAATTTTTACAATTTAGTTCTGAAAGGGGTTCGTTTACCTCAGACTACCCATCATATACATACCCAAGGCTAGCACAGACAGTAAGTGTACAGCCTAGTTAGATTACCGAGGTGCCCAACTCTAAGAGTCACTAAAGCACCAACAGAAATACAACAAATATATTAACTAGAATTCTTCTTAAAGAGAGGAAAGGATGTGACTGTGGTTAAGACCCAAGAAGGCATGCTCAAGTCAACTTCCTTCTACTGTAATTCCTAAATGCTCTTCTGGGGAGGAAAGTTGGTTTAACTGCAGGGTTTCTGTTTTGCTGAGCAGAGTATACACATTGGGGATCAAAACGGAAATGGTGGAAAAGTTAAGAAAGAGGCTGAGCTTAGCACTCAGGAGTCTCCTACTTTGTCCTCTCCTTTAAACAGAAGTCAAACAGCAGATGATGAAAGGACTTCGAATCTGCAACATGGTAACCACACTACAAGGTTATCTACCCTCGCAGAAGACTTGTACTAGACTGGTCACAACAACATTGTTTGTGGTGTTGTAAAAAGCTGAAAATCACCTAAATGTACATTAATAGGAAAGCAGATACTTAAATTGTAATATATTCATACAATGGGATATATATAAAGCAGTGAACATGCAAAACTTACAGCATTATACGGTAACACAAGTGATCTCAAAAACATAATACTGAGCAAAAGAAGTAAATCTTAGGGCACCTGGGTGGCTCATTCGGTTAGCCATCTGACTCTTGGTTTCGGCTCAGGTCATGATTTCATGGTTTGTGAGCTCAAGCCCCACTCTGACAGCAAGGAACCTGCTTGGGATTCTCTACCCACCCACCCCCGCCCTGCTCTTCCCCTGTGTTCGTGCACACACTCTCTCTCTCAAAATAAATAACAAGTAAATCTTCAACTATGAAATAAAAAATAAAAAAAAATGAAAATTGAACCATATTTTGTAGTGATACATATATGTATGATATGATAAAAAAAATTTTTTTAAATATATTTTTATGTTAGTTCTACTACGCCCAACATGGGGCTTGAATTCATGACCCTGAGATCAAGAATCACACACTCTACTGACTGAGCCAGGAAGGTGCCCTGATAAAATTCTTTTTTTTTTTTCCAAAGGTAAGAAAATGATAAATATAGGACAGTCGTCTCCTCTGGAAGGGGGGAGCACAGGGTATCTTCACTGTTTGATAATGTTCTAGTTCTTAGGTTAGGCGGTGGGGTCCTTATGTTAATTTATTATGTTTCGTAACTTACATGTGTTATGTATATTTTTGGTATGTATCAAGTATTACATATTAGGGGCACCTGTGTAGTTCAGTTGGTTAAGTGTCCAACTCTTGGTTTTGGCTCAGGTCATGATCTCATGGGGTTGTGAGAAAAGCCCCGCATCGGGCTTTGCACTGGGCATGGGGACTGCTTAAGATTCTCTCTCCCTTTCCCTCTGCCCCTCTCTGTCTCTCAGAAAAGAAAAAAAAAGAAAAAAGAGTTTATAAACAAAAAGTGAGACTAAAGGGGCATCAATTAAGCATCTTCTATGGGGCACCCACATATCTCAAGGCTGATGCTTGACCAGCAGACACCTGTTATAGGAATAATAATCTAGAAGCCAGAAGAATTACTAGTATGCTAATTATACTGGCAAGAAACTCATATTCAGTCTTTTGAATTTGCATATGTTGGAAACAATATAAGCTGATTGACTCCTATTAAAGTTCTAGAGCTCATCTTTTTGTTTAATACTATTAAACAACTTTTATTATTAAGCTTTCATATTTCAAATTCAAAATTTGAGACAAAACAAACAATAATAAATCCCAAAATGTTTCAACTGGTCCTTGAGCTTGAACATGCAAATGCAGGTCAAGGCACAGAGCCACAAGAAAAAATAAGCACACCACAGGTCGCCAGAAAGCTCAGCACCTGGATACCACGTGGGAACACGAGCTATCCTATTCAAGACCACAAACAGACCATCTCTTTTCTTTTTAAGTTTACTTTTATTTATTTTGAGAGAGAGCATGCACACGCAGGTACAAGCCAGCAGGGGAGGGGCAGAGAGAGAGGGAGAGGGAAGATCCCAAGCAGGCTTCATGCTGTCAGCGCTAAGCCAGATGGGGGGCTCGATCTGACAAACTGTGAGATCATGACCTGAGCTGAACTGAGTCGGGCGCTTAACCTACTGAGCCACCCAGATGCCCCCCGACTTTCTTTTTATAATGCTATATCTAAAGATTAACAAGATTTTCTCGAAATACCAAAATGTGGTAAGAAAAACAGTCCAAGATTGTAAACCTACATCATCATCGTCTTTTGCTTTTTGTCGTGCATCTTCAGCTTCTGCGCGAGCTCTAGGGGAAAAACGGAACATGTTATTTGAGTTGCACTCATCTTTTCAAGGAATAAAAGAGTAGGTCACAAATGTTAATCAACACTAAGTGATTATCTGTCTCTTTCCAGAGTATTTAGCTGCTTTCACTTAGGGCAAACACTGATGTAGCACTGTTCTCAGGGAAAAAACCGGTGTCGAAGAAAGCGGGGTGAAGGAAAATAATGACTATTGCTAATTTCCTTACTAGCAAATTTTAGAATGGTTCTACTAACTTTTTTTCACATCATGACAGACCCAGAATGTGATCGTGGTATCACGGGGTGAGAGGAGGCGCAGGCTCACGGCACAGCGGCCTTTTCCCAGGCAGCTGGTACCCGTCTCGGGGTGACGCCTGGGCCCCTCTGTGGTACACCAGCAAAGACAGGTGGGTTCAGAAGATTCCAGAGAAAACTTACTTCCTAAGCTCTTCCTCCAGCTCCTTGTTCTTTTCCTCCAGCTTCAGTTTGGCCTGTTTCACAGCCTCCAGCTCCCCTTGTAGCACATCTTTCTCACAGGTCAGCTCATCCACCTTTGCTATCAAATCATTCTTCACTACATTCAGAGCATTTCTAAGAAACACGTATTTCGAGTGTATCATTACAAATAAATACTCTTTCTGTCTTTCAGCTCATTCTCTTACAGACTCAAGTAATTATACAACCAAAGCTGAATAATTGAATACTTAAGAGATATTCCATGTGGTGCCATTTGTAAATAAAGATTAAAAAACACAGAGCAACCATCTAAGTTTTTACTCTTCTCACTTATTGAAGAATACACGGATAAAGCAAGGCAGATCACCAACTAATGAAAATGACAGAATTAACTAAGATTAAATTTTTACAAAACGGCATCATCCATACGTGTACTGTTGTTAAGTTCTGAAAAAAAATATTACCTAATCAATAAAGTAAGGTTTATCCTTGAATTTACCTTTAATAATTGATGAGGGAAAAAAGTCTAAAGAAAAAAAAACTGGAAGAAAATCTAACATATAGATCTTTTGGATACAGGTAGGTATAGTGCCTCTAACTGCATTCTATTTTGGATATACCTGGGTGTCCCAAAGATGCTCTGACATAGCAAATTAACAAAGGGCCACGGTCTGCTTTGCCACATGACTCAGAACCTGCCTGAGCCCAATATGTCTGAGGGCCTAAGACCCCCAAAATTATACCTGAAAACCTCCAATTATGGAGGAGAGCTCTGGAAAGGTGGCCTGGGTATACATCGAAACATGTATGCAGAAATAAAGACACCCCAGAGGAAAAAGGTAAGAAAATAGGCATTCCAGAGGAAGGAGCAAAAAAAGCATAGGACATATGCAGAAGGTTGAGAGAAAGGCATGCACACTTGCAGAATGGAAAGGAGATGAAAAATATTTCTGCAAAAACCAGAGCAAACAAAACATATCCATCAGTGAAAGTAAGTCCCATCAACCATTTCAGAAGGGGAACGAGATAGGGTAGCGAGCCTGCAGTTGCATGCGGTGTTAATTTGAACAAGGGTCACTGACTCAGATGAGAAAATTCAGTATCTTGTGCTCCTTGTTAAAATTTTGGATATATACTTACTTGGTTTCCAACAGTTGTGTATTTTCTAATATAAGATTCTCAACTTCACGACCCATTCCTACCAAAACAATAAAATAAGAACTCTCAAAACACATTATCAAAAATTACATAAACTTGTATTATAGTAAACTATAGGCTCAAATTTTAATTTATAAATTTTACCTGTCCTTTAGTAACCTTATTTTGTCTATAATTTTATTTGATATATCTACTTGTGTAGGTTATAAAATCATAATTATCGATCATAAAACAAAGCTAAAGATTTTGTTAGCCAATTCTTTATAACTGTTAGTCTATATTTTGTTTCTCATAGATAGTATTTCAAAATGATTAAGACTTTTCTGCCAAATATTCTAAAAAGTAGCAGTACTTAGAGAAAAAAAAAGAGTAAGCATTAATACAGATCAAAAATCATTTCCAAATCACTGCTGATATTGTAGGCTTTTTGCCTAAAAATTAGGTCTTACTAAGAGAGAACTGGCAGAAACAAGGCCAAAGAAAGACAGAACCCCAATGCAGATGAAACCTTACCAAAGAAATTATGGTCTTAAAGCCCATGCATTCCATGTAAAGCAAAAACAAAGAACAAGAAATGTTTTATGTAAGAAACAGCATGAAAAAAGATTATTAATCTGTAAAGTTTTATGCATGATATGAAATACATCTGGAATCACAGTGTTATGATTTAATGCATAATGATGTGCAAAAGACAGAAATTAAGATGATTTCCTTCATTTATAAGGATGCTCTTTGATATGTTTTACCAATTCTTTTACACAATGAAAATGGATTAGAATGAAAACCCCACATCAATAATATAAAGTTTCCCTCCAAGTGCCACCTCTGAAATGATAATGTTCAGTTATTACTTTACAGAATCCTGTTTAATAATTTAACGAGGACTGTAAGGTCGGCAGATAGAGCATTCAATGCAAGATCCAATGCAATGATCTTTAGGGAGAAGAAAGTTATTTAATTTGCTAATTATAAGAAACTGAAGAAATAAAACAACACACTAGGGAATGTATCTCAAAAAGTTACCAAATCAAAAAAGCAAAACAAAGCAAAACAAAAGACCCATCACTCACTTAACCCAGCTAATGCTGGAAAATACACATTCGGCAGAAGAAGTAATATTCACACAACCCAGCAAAACAGAAGGGAAATATCCTAAAGAAATTTTTCTAAAGAAAACTACATAAGGAAAAGGAATTGTTTTTTCTTTAAATAATTTTTTTAAGGGTAGTATTTCTAATGGCTTAAAGATTATTTAAAACAAAACCAACTTAGGAATGCTAAAAATTCAATGCTTACATATACGGAACTCATATTTTGTCTATTATAATTATCTCAAATACTCTCAAAGATCAGGGTACTTCTACCATGAAGAATTAAATATCAGAAACAGTAGCTTATTTAATCATCTATATATTCTTCAAAAAGTGAAAATAAAGACAAACTAAAAAAGTTTCCAGATTCCAATTCCAAAATGAATTTTGGCAAGATACTGCTGAAATATGTGCTTTAAACACTAATGTTAACTTCCAATAAAGCTTTACAGTCAGAAGAAATAGGGTTTAGATTGGTTGAAAAAAGCTTATGTAATGACTGTGTTTGCTATAAACTCTCAAGCATGTAGGGAGATAAGCATAAAAGCTGAAAATATATGGAAGGCAAAAAAAAAAAAAAATAGTTGAGCAGAAAAAAATGATGAGAAAGCATTACATGAGGATAGCAGCCAAGAACACCTAGCTTAAAAAGCAGTAATATTAAAGTATTTAAAAGCATACACACCAGAATATTCCCCTGGGTAAGCAGCCCAAGAGAAAAATGAATGAGAATCACAATTAGATTGTTTTTAGAAAGCAAGATCTATGCTCATTTGTGACAAAATGAGAGAAAGGAGACAATAAAATTTAAAAGATGTAGAGAAACCAACCATTAGCTGAACACAATGTAAATATTATAAATAAGAAAAAATCTTGAAATATGTACCATATGGGAATCATATCTGATAATGTAGTTTCTAAAGTTTACACATTCTCAGGAAGAGTTCTCTCAAAATCTAGTGTATAAATTTAATATGTGGTCAATAGGATTGTGCAAAATTTTCATTTTGAAATGTACTGATAAAAACTAACTCCTAACTATAAGAAAAACATAACTTGAAGTGGCCCCATTTCTATTCAAGGCTTCAACCAAACATAAACGTAGATCTAACATATTTGCCAACTTTACCTATTAAAAAACAAGCAAACAACTGCCTGGCAGTTTTGTAAATCATAGAAGTCTCCCTTGGATGTTAGCACCAATCCTCAAGCTACGTCCATAGCTGGGCCTCCAAATGATCTGTTAATCCCTTGAGAAAGTATGCACAATTTTGTCTACCTATACATGCATTTTCCCAAAAGTACACTGCTTTCTTACAAATTCTCCCATAAAGGAGTTCTAATTCTAAAAGGTGAAAGAATCACAGATTTAGAGGTGAAATAAAACTAATAGAACTACGTAGCAATCCATTCACTAAACTGCTGTGCTGTGTGCTAAAGACTCACTAGTGAGCAAAGGACAGAGTTGTCTTGGCCACACAGAGCTTAGAGCCCCAGGGAAAGGAGTATGTATACAATTATAGTAAAGAACAAAGTGTGGCACATCGAAGAAAGTGAGGTCCATGAGAATACATTTCATGGACAATGGAGCTTTAACTAGGGGATCAAAGCAGAATTCCAACAAGAGGATATGCAAGGGGATATAGAAAGACATAGATATATAGTTTTTTTGTTTTTTTTAAAGAAAGGGAGCAAACAAGCTTTGGTGATTGGTTCTCAAGGAAGCAGGAGAGATCCTGAATGGAGAACTGAGTGGACATTGAGCTCATTCATTCACTGAGACAGTACACTCTGGGGTAGGAATAGCCTTGAGGAACAGGACAACGAATGATGAACTGAGCTTTAGGCACATCAAGTGTAAAGCCCTATAAATCATCTTAGAGGTGTCTTGTGGGCTGCCTGGAAGTAATAGTCTGGGGCTCTAGAAAAAGATCTTAGAAGGAGATAAAAACTGTGGAGCACTTTTCTATGAAAGCCAAGAAACAAGAGCAAATAAGATTTCACAAAGAAGCATGCCTGGGGCACTGATATCTGAAAGGTGGGGAGAGAAGAGGATCCTGTAAAGAAGACTGAAAAAGAAAAGAGGCAGGAAAGAATGCAGGAAAGTCTGTTATCACAGAAACTCAGCAAAGATGGTGTTAAAGACAAATGCTACCTGAGAAGTCATATGAAAGAATGCAGATGGAACCAGAAGGAACCGCTGGATATAGCAAACAAGAAGGCTGTTTCAGGCAAGGAGAGTGCAGGGAAGAATGTCCACACAGACTGCAGGAGAAGAGGTGCGAGTGGGAAAAGGGAGATCCTGCCAATTTAAAGTAGCTACACATTCAAAAAGTCCGCTTTGTTCACTGATGTATCACAAGCATCTGGGAGATACCTCGCTGATACTGCTGCATAAAGCAGAAATGCAAAGAAAGTGAGTGATTGGGTGGAAAAGTGCTGAAGGTATAGGGTCAGAAGAGGGCAGTACTTTGATTTTTAAGTGGAAAAGATCTGAACATGCTTAAATGAGAAAAGAAGAAGTAAAGACAGTAAAGTTGAAAATATAGAAGATAACAAGAGAAAGAAAATCCCAAGAGTAGGATGTATGATTTCCAAGTTCTAGAAAGTGGCCATAGAGAATACATGAGTAAAGTGAATAGAAAAAGAACTGATGAAAATAAAGTCAAAGGATAAGGACAAACGGGGGTAGGGGGAGGTGCCTCTTTTAAATTAAAATCAGAAAAAAATATTCTAAATGCTGAGTATAGGCATAATGATTGCGAAAATTTATATCCTTGAACAAGAAAAGAGTTCTACAATAATATAGTAATTAAGAAAATGAATAATGAATCACAGAAATGGACTATGTACTTATTTATCAACCCAAGTCAATTAAAGAACTTTGGGAAACAATTTTGTTAGTTTCACTATCTTCCATTTAGTATTACACTTCAATTGCTATCACAGAACTGTACAGAAGAGAAGCCAGGGAACACATGTATGACTTGGAAATTTCATTTACCATCTTTGACCACAAGGTATTCATGTAAGCATGAGTCACTACACTTAAGGTAATAGAGTAAAATCTTCTAATCTGGAACATTCTAGAGAAAAATATATTGGTATCTGAAAAAGGGAAAAGACACTAGTTTACAGTCTATTTCTTATTTTCAAAGTAGAAAGGAAACCAGAGTTATCAGGATTTTGCTGTTAACCTATTCATTATGCTTAATTTTCTGACTTAAAGAGTGGAAGCTTTCATCTGATTTAAAAGACCACAATTATCTCTAAATACTATGTGGCTTCTTAACTCTTTACAAAAAGTTAAGTTTGGAACTACCAACCTCAAAAATTATATTATTCAATATTGGATTATGAAGTAATAAAGAGTATACATTAAAAAAGCCCTTCATTCATGGGGCACCTGGGTGGCTCAGTCGGTTAAGCATCTGACTCTTGATTTCACCTCAAGTCATGATCTCACTGTTAGTGAGTTGGAGCCGTGAATCAGGCTCTGCGCTGCCTGCATGGAGCCTGCTTGGGTTCCTCTCTCCCTCTCTCTCTGCCCTTCCTCTGCTTCCTCATTTTCTCTCTTTCTCTCCCTCTCAAAATAAATGAATAAACTTAAAAAAAAAAAAAGTGCTTCACTCTGGTTAAATACAAAGAGCAGCATGAAAGAATTTTGGGGGGTATATTGATTCTGCTGGTGATTATAAATTGTGCCCATTTGTCAAAACTCAAAAAATTCACCATAAAGAGTGAATCTTACTGTATATAATAAACACTTAAAAACTCTTCTTTCTAACATTTTTTGCATATACCCTTCAATTTTGCCAGGGACTCAGTTTCCTAAACAGAACTTTTTATGCATAATTAAATGTTAACTAAAGTTACAGTGTAAATTTAAATGTTAAAAAATGGAATGTTCCTTAAGAATTAATCTTCAGCCCTCCTTGAGAAATGCAAACTCATTCAACTGCTTCCAATCTTTTACTTAGACGTTAACAGTGGAAGTCTATGACTGAGAATAGTTTTATTTATGATAAACTTTCAATCTCCCTTGTGAAATAGACTGTGAGCTTCATTTAGACACAACTTACATTTCCTTCAAAAAAATACTTGAAACTTTTGAGGACATAATGGTAATCAATAAATTTAACACAAATTAACACAAGCAATCCCATTCCATATTCACAAGAACTAACAAAGAGCACCTTTTGAGAACACTATATAGTCTTTATTATAATTACACTAATAGATACAAAAACTTTTTTAGAGACCAGTATCTATTCCAAAGGCATAGGTTTTTAATACGGTAAGATTTTCAATTTCTGTAAGGTTTTAAATTATAAGAAGGGTACATCAAAGCTAACTGACATTAAGTCAGAATCTCATAATTATCATTAAAAGAAACTTTATAGATCACCTAGAGCAGGAGTCTACACATTCTTTATGCAAAGGGTCAGATGGTGACTCTTTTGTCTTTGTAAGCCATATGATCTCTGTTACAGACTACTGAACTGCTGTTGGGTCCAAAGCAACTACACATAATAAATAAACAAATGATAGTGGCTGTGTTCTAATAAAGTTTTATTCATACACACAGGAGAGGAGCTGGATTTGGGTCAGTGAGCCACAGCTGGCTCAATCTTTGAACAAGAATCCAGTTCCTTCATTTCATAGTTAAGAAACTAAGATTGGGAGAGGATAAGCCATTTGGCAAAGGTCACCAGATAAGTACTGAAAGAGCTAAATGCAGTATTCTTTTCAAACCAGGTGTTCTTCAACAACACAAATTCAAAACTGATTACATCCCATAAAGCTAAAACAGAATATTCTGTGTAATCTCAGAAAAAAAACAAGTATTATATATTCTTACTTAATTAAAGTCAACAGAATTTAAGGAAATCTACTTAAGGGGCACCTGAGTGGCTGTCAGTTGAGCACCCGACTTCGGCTCAGGTCATGATCTTGTGGTTTGTGAGTTCGAGCACCACATCAGGCTTGCTGCTGTCAGCACAGAGCCTGATTTGGATCCTCTGGCCCCCTCTCGCTGCCCCTCCCCCACCTGCACTCTCCCCAAAATCAGTAAATATTAAAAAAAAAAAAAGAAAAAAGAAAGAAAAAAGAAAAGAAATGTACTTAAGCCAGGAACTATCTATCAGTCTATACACACACACACACACACCCACACCCACCCCACTGTGCTCCTTATGTGTAATATTGTTCTTGGAATATAGCACAGACTCAATAAAATGTGCTATGTGAATTTCAAAATACAAATTTAAATGCAATTCAATTTGAGAGACATCCACATGCAAAGATGCTTTCATTTAAAATTTTCATAATCTCAAAGAATACTTTCCTATTAATTACCTGAAAGTGCAATCACTGTGTGCTACTGAACTGTTGAGGACATTTTAAAGTAATGTTCAATTAAATCATTTAAAATCTATTTTTAAAACAGTATGATACTTCTTCAGATAAGCTATCATACCTAGTAAATCCGCTCCTTCATCCACATCTCCAATTAGGCCTGAGCCAGCTGAAGACAGTTCTTCAAAGAGAGATTCTGTATTGCGATCAAAAGCTTTGTTCTCTATGCCTTTGGTGGGAGTGCTATGCAACAAAAACAACACAAACAAATCAACAAATGTTACAAAGACGCTGTCAACAGTGTAAAATGAATACAATAGGCAAGTAATTGCCTATTAAATTTATATTTAATACAAAACATAATTTCAAAAGATTTCTGAAAGGTTTCCTAAGAAATTCTCATCAAATTTCACAGATACAATGACTGAAGAGGGGTGCCTGGTGGCTCAGTCAGTTGAGCGTCTGACTTTAATTTCAGCTCGGGATCTCACAGTCGTGGGATCAAGCCCCACGCTGGGCTCTGTGCTGATAGCATGGAGCCTGCTTGGGATTCTCTCTCTCCCTCTGTACGCCCCCCCACGCCCCCCCCCCCACAACAGCATTCTCTCTCTCTCAAAATAAATAAATAAACATTTATAACAAAAGAACAAAACAAAAATACAGGATGAAAATACAGAATGACAGCCAACAGAGCACTGTTCTGCGTGGCATCTGGCACTGTATAAGCGCCTTACCAAGAATGCCTTACTGAATCCTTGCACCTACTCTATAAAGGAGGCGCTATCATCCCAATTTTATAGAAGAGGAAACTAAAGAGATTTAGGAACTTGCCAAGATTGTCCAGCAAATGAGAGAAAGAGGCAGGATTCAAACCTAGACAGTCAGGTTTCAGAATGCATGATGTTAACTACCGTGTTATATGTTATCTGGGTATAACTTGGCATGGCCGTTTTATTTTTCTTTTAAGGGAAATTACAGAATCAATTAAAATTTATAATATAAATACCCACTGACCCAAAAAGCCAATGTCTAAAAAAATCATAAAAAAACCCTGTCATAAGAAGGAAATTACAAATGTAAAAGGATGATCAGAGTAGCATTCCTATAGTAGCTAAAATTGAAATGACCTAACTGATCATTAACAGGACAGAGGTAAGTTATGGATATACATAAAAGTTAAAGACTTTTAACTTTATAGTTAAAAACATCAAAGTAGAGCTTTACAAACTAAAGAAGCCCATTATATAGAGGTGCTTTTTGTTTTTGTTTTTTTAAAGCAAGTTACAAAACTGTATATATAAGCCCTTTATTGCAGGAATATGGAAGGAAATGGGGAAATGTTTGTGTGTGCACTAACATTATCCTGCACAGGATTTCTAGTTAAACTTGGTGGACTAGACATAGTAATTTGTCACCCAATAGGACATAGAAAATAGATAAAGAAATTGCAGCAGATGAAATGTGAACAAAATTCTGTTAAGATAGAAAACAGGCCAGTAACAGAAACTGATTTGACAGACCAGGAAAATCTGATAAGCCACTGGGGTTTAGGGAGGATTGAACACAGCACGTTGCCAGAACCTCTGAGAAGCCCAGGAATTGAAGGAACCAGCAATCTATAGACAGGTGCATGCAAGGGGGAGCCTAAAACAGAAGGATGGGACAAAAGCACAAGAAACCCTGTGACAGTGAGGTCCAATCCTCCGGAACAGTGACACCTCCCCCCCGCCCCTAGAGAACTCTTGCTTTTGGCTCAGGTCCTGATCTCAAGGTCATGAGATTGAGCCCCATGTCGGCATGGAGTCTGCTTAAGATTCTCTCTCCGTCTCTCTGCCCCCGCCCTGCTACTAACCTAAGCCTAAGCAAACAAAACAAAATCCCACTAGGGTTTTACTGAGTCCAGAAAAAACAAAGTTGTAAAAGAAAGTAAACGTAATCAATATATTCTGTGGCTAAGCTGTGATCAGTATTTATATAGTCATGATGATTTAAATAATGAATGCTAATTTAACAAACACAGAGACAGAATTATATTGGGAGGATGAAAGGAAGGATGGTGATTTAAGGAGCTATCCTTGTCATCTTTCACTGTAAAGCCAACAGCTAGTATCAGCGTTTTTAAAATCTGGTTCCTTGGGGCACCTGGGTGGCTCAGTCAGTTAAGCATCCGACTTCAGCTCACGTCATGAACTCACTGTTCATGGGTTCAAGCCCCATTTCGGGCTCTGTGCTGACAGCTCAGAGCCTGGAGCCTGCTTCAGATTCTGTGTCTCCCTCTCTCTCTGTTCCTCCCCTGCTCTCACTCTCTGTCTCTGTCTCTCTCTGTCAAAAAATAAAATAAAATAAAGATTTAAAAAAAATTTTTAATTACAAAAATAAAATAAAATCAGGTTCCTCATTTGATCCACAGAACACAGAAAGTGATTTGAGTGACTGTTGTCTCCATTCTAGATGCACAGGAGTGTAGCTAACTCATTAGCACAAGGGATGCCCTGGGGCATTAGGACTTAATTTTCTCACAGAATCTCAGCTGAGAAACAGAAGGAGCAAGGAAGAGAACCATAAGGATGTGATTCCGATACCTGAAGAAAAATGGCAAAAGAGAACTAAGACGTGGCTGCCGCCACACCACAGCCTCAGCTGTGCCGAAGCCCAAGTTCTCCATGGACAACCTGTGAAGGCCGCTCTAGTGAGGTCGATTGGGGCTCAACATACTGGGGGAGAGTTGAGCTCAACATTGACCTGCCCCACAAGAAGGTTGGTATCAATTCCGAGCACAGCATGGACACTCGCTGGAGACCCTGGGAAAACAGGCAAAGCTGTTTCCCACCTTGGCCCCAAGTAGCAAGGGCCTGGATCCCTGCTCCCAGGACGGACCAAAGGGGGCATGACGCTGATCCCTCTCCTGCCTTCTAGACAGACCTGGGGCCTGGCAGTCCTGCCCAGCAAGGGGAGTTCCTACAGAGAGCCTTCCTCGCCCTGTTCGTTTCCCCAGAAAAGTTGAGCCACTTTTGTTGGGGCAGGGGGTGGGGGGTGGGAGGAGAGAAAAAGATAATGAAGAAGAGAGAGACACTGCCTACTGGGAATGGGAATGAGGGGTGGGCAGGGGCAAGGGACTACTACTGCCCTTCAAATTTTGTATTATTACCACTTGACCTTAATACTGCATACATGTATGAGTCTAATAAAAATATTTTTAACTTTTACAGAGGTTCAGAATGACAAAAGCACACAAGTGCTTATAAGCAGCAGCATCTCCTAGGCTTAGGAGAGGACAAATAAAAAGCAAATTTCACTTTTTACACTCTGCATTGTTTAC